TGTGTGTGTGTGTGTGTGTGTGTTTCTTACCTTATCGCATGAGGGGCATAAATGAGGGGGGTGGAGGGATCTTAGGGGGGAGGAGGGCCGGGTTGTTTCTTACCCTCTCGATGAAATGCCATAAGCCTCCCAAGACGTCGCGTCGCTCAAAGCACGTGATGTCAGTGAACCCTGCTTCCAGAAAAGTCTTCGTTGCCGTGACGCCAGACGACCCGGCTCCTATGATGGCCAATTTTCCAGACATTGTCGTGTTTCTTCCTTGTGCCCTGAAAAATAAAGTTGTGAGAAAATATTAAATTAAACAAATCATCATCATCATCATCATCATCATCATCATCATCATCATCATCATCATCATCATCATCATCATCATCGAGGCAACTCTGATCATTTTCACGGATGGATCGGCGGTTGCAGGATACCGCAAAGGTGGAGCAGCAGCAGTCGTGATAATGAATGATGAACCACCATGAACAGAAGAAATCATTGAAAATAAAGGTGCATTCCTTACATCATCTTTTGACAAAGAATGCCAGGCAATGATGTCTGCTACACAATGGATTGCTGACAATTGTCGCAGTAGAACCAACGTGCTGATCTTGACAGACAGTCAGTCCTTCTGCAAGTGACTGCTAAGAAACAGCTGAGACATACATGATTTGCGCCGCAAGTTCGGTGGATTCCAAGCCATGTTGGAATATAAGGAAATGAGGCAGCAGACCAACCTGCTAATGAAGCCAGAGAGATTCAAGGAGACAGACGACCAACAACATACATGTACAGAGAAGTCTTTCCAATGATCAAGAGGGAAATCAGAGACCAACCATGCATAGCTAAGTACCAGCACCTGGAGGATTTTGATCATCATCAAAATAATAATAATACAGAGTTCTATCCCATTCATGTGTAAGTTCATAGCTCCTCATCCCTCCCTCTATATTGAGCTTGCTTGACCCAGTCTGCATATTTAACGTTTTTAACTCTCCTTTAGGGTATATTTGGATCACTGTGACGCCATTCGCGAAAGATGATTTTTTTTAAAAATGGAGGCGGGGGAGTCGAAATTTACTTTACCCAAATGCACAATGATGGAGAAAAAGATTAAAATAATCATTATTGGTTAATAATCAAGCGCATAGAGAAATCTGTAGAGCATAGATGAGCGTAATAAAAATACCATGATTGTTATGTTTTAAGATACTTTTATAAGTCATCCTCGTGGAGAAAGTCTGGTTACATAAGAAATTGCTAAAGAAACATGAGTACATCAAATAATTTTGAGTAAGAATAATATGTAAAACGCCAACAACAAAAATTATCAAAAGATCACGCCAACATCGCCAATAGGCAATAAGTATACTAATAAATACAAACAGGTTTACAAACACGTGTTTGTTAGAAGTGCGGACGAAACTGTTTCTAAGAAGGATTGTAATGACTTGCTCAGAGTCCCTCACTCTTCAGTGACTACTTGTGTAAATCAATCGTCACTGACATAGAGTGACATAATGTTTTCTTGTTTAGTTTCTTTCTTTTTTAATTATATATTTTTTAAGCGTAGGTGTTTTTTGTTTTTTTTACATAGCCACCGACACAACTTAGGTCATATAGGAGGTTGGTTTCCGACCCTGCCTGTCACGGCCAACCCAGGATGAAAGGGTTACAATCACAGCAGGAAGACCGAGATACTCGATAAAAATGTTCTCCTCTCTCAGGAATCAAACTCTTGTTTCCTGCGTGCAACAGCGTTTGAAAAAAGAGAGAAGGAGCAAACCACACCAGAGGACCCGCCAACCATTCAGTTGTGTAGCCCTGAATGCCCCCAAGTATTCTTTCATCACAGTGGAGTCCACTTAAACTTCAATCTGTGGGCCTGCCGGACTTTCTTCGGTTCAACCGGGTTTTTTTTTACGGTTTAGAGAGGTCGTTCAATTAGAAATAATAACATTGGGGATTTTCTTTTCTTTCGGTTTAAGGATGTTTTCCGATTAGCCGTGTTCGGTTTAAACGGACTCCTCTGTATGTGACCGGAAATTTGTTTGTTTATTCGTCGTTGATTTAATTTTTTCTCTTGGGAGCGAGGGGTCAACATTCTTGTTCTGGTAATAAAGAACGTAATTAATTCTGGCGAGTAGCTAAACACAGAAAGAACAG